TCCAGTTGTCAATCATTCTTGTTGCCATAATCTTGGTTTTTTTGATGTTTAGCTGCAACCCGGCCTTTGCGCCCTCTTCTCTCACCTTGATTAGAAGGCTCCTCAGATCCTCCTCGCTTTCGGCCATCAGAGTGGTGTCATCTGCATATCTGAGGTTGTTAATGTTTCTTCCAGCAATTTTTACCCCAGCTTTGCATTCATCCAGCCCCGCACATCGCATGATGTTTTCTGCATACAAGTTAAAAAGGTTGGGTGAGAGTATGCAGCCTTGCCGTACGCCTTTCCCAATCTTGAACCAGTCTATTGTTCCGTGGTCAGTTCTGACTGTTGCTACTTGGTCCTTGTACAGATTCCTCAGGAGAGAGACAAGGTGGCTTGGGATGCCCATCCCACTAAGAACTTGCCACAATTTATTATGATCCACACAGTCAAAGGCTTTAGAATAGTCAATGAAGCAGAAGTAGATGTTTTTCTGAAACTCCCTGCCTTTCTCCATTATCCAGCGGATATTGGCAGTCTGGTCTCTCATTCCTCTGCCTTTTCAGGTTTGTGTGTATTGGATATTTGTGCCAAATTTGGTCCAGTGAATACATCAGATCTTTTTATTACAATTGATAACAGTAGCAAAATTACAGTTTAAAGTAGCAATGAAAATGATTTTATGTTTGGGGGTCACCGCAACATGAGGAACTGTATTAAGGGGTCGCGGCATTAGGAAGATTGAGAAACACTGGCTTATATCATAAAAACTAGAGCCAATATACATTTTTAAATGTCATTTTCGTTTTCAGCACCCCAAAATCATGAAAGAACAACTATTTACAGGCACGCAACTTTTTCTCCGTTGAACAGTGTTATCAATGCTCTTTTGTTTTGTTTTTGAGTGATGTTGAATGACATATGTTAATGTTTCCCCCTTCTTCTTAGTACCCCCCTCCCCCTTGTTATATTTTTAAAGAGTTGAATAGATCTATATTCCCATTTGTGGGAAATTATAGTGTTACTGCGTTCTAATAAAGGAAACAGAAGGGAGAAAAATTGCCGTGATCCAAGAAGAACTGTAGTTAATCCATACGGTTTTTATACAGTTATTGTGACAAAAATGGATTGAACAGGTACCGTGGATACAGGAATGCATAAATGAAATGCATCCCACTGGAAAAGCTTTTTACTCACATTGTCATTTACAGCTCCTGAATTAATAGACCAAGAAAGGCACCAGAGGCACCAACAAAATGCAGTAAAACCATCGGCAGCCAGTGGTGTCTCAAAGTTTAATTCCCCTGGGGAGAAAAGGACACTGCCTAATCTGTATTCAGTCCTGACATTGTCCACATCTGATATGGAACATTAGCTACTAACTCTCTCAATAGACTAGTGTCCTTCAGTTTATATTACTTTATGTTAATAGTAGAAAAATTGCACACAACATCATTTATCATTGTTATACTGCACTATACATCCCATAGCTTATTTTAATATATCTATTTACACATAAGATACAGAAAATCATTTTTTAAACCAATGTATTTCAAGACAAATACGAAACGAGAGACTTGGTGGGAACACATACGCTGTGACAGTCATGTCAATACAAACACTGAAACACGGAAGCTTTCCGAGTTTCCTGACTGGTAAACCCGTCACTGTGTTATGCTACAAATCTTAGAAAAAATGAGACCTAACTCTACAGGCCCTTTCATACTACATGATAATTGCATTCGGACCTGGATTCGATGGAACTCTGCATGTTGTAGTTTGCTGAGGCACTAGAGCAGCATTTCTCAACCTGAGTGTCAGGACCCCTTGAGGGGTCGTGAGGGGGGTGTCAGAGGGGTTGCCAATGACCATCAGAAAACACAGTATTTTCTGTTGGTCATGGGGGTTCTGTGTGGGAAGTTTGGCCCAATTCTATCATTGGGGAGGTTTAGAATGCTCTTTGATTGTAAGTCAACTAGAAATTCCAGCACTACAACTCCTAAATGTCAAGGTCTATTTCCGCCAAATTCCATCTGTGTTCACATTTGGGCATACTGAGTATTCACGCCAAGTTTGGTCCAGATCCAGGCATGTAGCCGAAGGGGGGGCCTTGGGGGGCTTCAGCCCCCCCCCAAAATTCTCATGGTGGTCCGCGAGAAGGCCTTGTTGTTCATTCGTTCAGTCATCTCCGACTCTTCATGATCTCATGGACCAGCCCACGCCAGAGCTCCCTGT